GACAGAGGATATTTTTCAGAATTTTCAGAGTAAAAATACCAAACGTTAAGTTTACAGGATCTGCAGGATTCGATTTATGTTCCAATGGAATAGAAAAATGTTAATTTGGCTCACAGAAAAAATAAAAACTAACAAATTACAGAAAAAGCTAGGTTAGGTTAGATTACATCGGAGCTTTTTAGGTTAGATTAGTTAAGCAGGGTAGTTGCTAGGTACTTGTTGTGTTCAAATTAGCAACTAAGACTCCAGTGTCAATTTAGTTGATAGTTTGTTCCATAGTAACCTATCATGATGAGGCAAAAACGTTGCAATCGTAAGGAAATAGATTATGGTTGTCTGGTAACACGTGTCTAGTAAGTAAGCTGCGGACCCGGTTATTTACGACTTAGTTAAGGACTTATCCATGACTTAGTTAAGGGTATTATTGACACAAAAAGACATTTGAAACTCAACAGTATTAAATTAATTTATTTACTGTTGTTTCTTTCCTCGTTCTCATGAGATGGAATCCATCACATAACGAATGGTCAAGATTTTTTTATGCATAACCAGGCAGGTATTTGACCGCAATCGCCCCTGGTGACCAACCAAGTGAGATGCAGTCTAGGATACATATCTGCCCTGTAAGTGCTTTTTCACTATCGCCTTAAAAAGGTCCGCATTATAGTGTTCGGGAATTCCAGTCTTAGTTATAGTTAAATGGCGAAGCGACGGGCAAAAGGTTTTAGTAACTGTAATTTTCTGTATTACGATTATAATTACGAGTCTACTCGCCTATTGTTATCGTATAATCAATAATACTCGTAATGTAAAATATTCAACAAAATTTATGTTCAGTAGTTTTGCGTGAAAGAGTAACAAACATTCTTTCATCCTCATAAAACATTCACATCAATGCTAATATGATATTAATAATATACTTCTGTAACTTAATTTTCATAATCATTAGACTACAAATCTATCGGCAAATCAGCTTGCACCACAAAATATAATGTAAGAATTTTAATTTGCACGATATTGCGTGAGCTTGGAATTTTAGAAAATCCTGTTTTTAACAGAACATATTACATCGTTCGATTCAAATATTTCGTTTTGTATTTCAATTAGAACGCGAAAAAACCTTTTCTTCCCTCTCAAAACAGAGTTATGCTAATATGACCCCTGTATGTGCCGTCCCAGCGTATTTCATACAATTTTGTCAACGCAATAAAGGCGGTAATTCTTTCAATTTCATCATGTTTATTTAAATGAGGTTTGTATTACAGAGCGCGACGCTTAAATAATGTAGGTACGGAACATTCTTATTATGTTTTCACTTAAAAGTGTCCATTGTGTCAAGTCAATGTTAATCGTAATACATTGAAGAGGAGACTGCAATATTAATAAATCTTACACATACTTATTGAAGCATTCTTTTGGGAAGTAGGTAATAAAATACAAAGATAAAAACGCAGACGATCTTTGAGAGGATATTTCCTCTTGTACCTACCTCCCAAATGTGATCAAGAATGCTTTATGTGTTTAGATTTAGAAAAAAGATGTATTAACCTGTAACCGAACTTCAAGTGTTTTCATGAAGAAAATGAAAAAATTTTTTATAACAAACATTTCACTTTAGAACGCCCCTTGTAAATGTGCAGTGAACAGTCACACAGCACGATCACACAACATCAAATTTCTACCCACTTTTAAAAGGTAAATCAGAAAGACAAATAATTGTCGATCGATTACATGATAAGTATTAGGTACTATCAGCAGTATAGGTTTAAGCACTACATGGTGTGCTTGTAGCTTGGCATCCAGATACACCAAGAATGACCATAGAGGCGTGGAAACCAAACCAAAACCAGCTGCAGAACGAAACTATTTGGGAACTTAAAATAATTTAAACTATGCGTACAATACATCTGCGTAACCAAAAATGTCATGAATTTATTGTCAATAGGTATCCTAATGTTATCTTAATTAGTCCTAATCCTAATTTAATCCTTCTTAATCCTAATTAATGTATGATAGACCGGGATAGATTTGGTAATCTATTGTTCATGCAAAACTTTAATGAATATTCGTCATCATCATCATTTCAGCCATAGGACGTCCACTGCTGAACATGGTCTCCCCTATGCTTTCCAAGTTGCCCGGTTGGTAGCGGCCTGGTAATCATAAGTGCCACTAGTGGTCTGGTTGGTTGGTCGGTTTCAGCCAAATGACGTCCACTGCTGGACAAAGGCCTCCCCCAAGGTTTTCCACAATGAACGGTCCTGCGCTGCCCGCATCCACATAATCCGCATATATGGTAGCACTAGTGGTCTAAATTGAATAAAATATTTTTGATTTTGAATATTATGAACAAATAGTGTCTTCTAGACTTTTCAAAACCGATTTTGTGCACGTTCTCAATAAGCCAACCACTAGCATTCCCGTCTCGTGCCAATGGAGCCGCACTCCGCGTCGTTTTCCAATCTCCCGGAGAGACGTGTCGGGAAAATCCTCTTTTGATTTATTTTTTAATTCACCATCTCATTTCAATTTATGGACCGCCGCATTTGTACCTGTCGCCGCTCGACATGCTAATGTTCCCGTAATTGATTTGTTGGAAACAAATGTGTTTTGAACGCCTTGATGGAATGTCTGAATTGGTAGGATTTGGTTTTTAAAACTGTTGCTAACGAATTTGTAGGTTTCTTTAATTGATTTGTGCTAGGTTAGCTTGCTATGCTTAGTTTGAGACTAGTTTTGTTAGTGTGTTAATGCAATAGCTGGGAATATCTAGTATTTATAAATTTATATTATTAGCCGACTGAATAAGTAATTTTACAAGGTCTTTACATAACCTTCAAAATGATCATTTAGTGCGGGACGGTAGTCTTATATTTTGTTACAAGACTATGAATTTTATGTGAATTACCCTAGAAAAAAATCGTAATTTACATCAACAGCCTACAGGCTCTTTTCAGGACAATTTATACAAGTTCCAAGATAAGACGTTGATCAAACAAAATTCAAATAAGTAGGTACTTAAGTTTTTTTCATTTGTATGGATAGTTTTTAATGCAGTAAGTACTACTGTTACGCTATACTCGTACTTTTACCAAGCATTGTTAGCAAAGTACCTATTCAATATCACATTAATCTCTCATAAGAGAATGAATGAATCTGGATAAGTGTATTTCTGTTATACGAGTATATTCTGCTAAGTTCGAAACGTTGGTCAGTAATAAATATTTATTATTGAAGAATAAAGCACTCCCGCCTTTTATTCCCTGTCAATAGCGAATCTTGTCCACTGGAGCGTTTTTATGGCCTAAAACAGTGTTTGTCGTACCCTGAAACAATATTATCCGTGGGCGGGCGGCAAAAAGCGAAGAAGCAGATGATCTTCATTTAAATATTCGGGGACAGGGGCTGGGACTTTGAAAAACTGGCTGTGAACACACTGGATGATTTTGTACCATAACTCTACTTCTAGATAATTTTTTTTTACGTAACTGAAATACCTATAATTTTAGGGCGGGCGGAAAAAGTGCTGTTAATTTAAGCCTTATTTTGATGGATTTCATTCTGGTTACACTTTTTTTACTTTTTTACCGTTTATTTATAGACTACAGTGTTTAATAATACAGCCCCCCTAGACGAAACGCACTTTTGATCGAATCGAAAATCGAATCCGTCAAAACTCCATACAAAAAGGGGCTTTTCGACCACTTTTCGACTGGTTTGCGATTATAATTTGCACTTTGTCTAGACCCACAGTACTGGCATAACTTAGTTGATCGGAATTCGAATGTAGACATTTCAAACAACGGCTCATCCTCATAAAACCTAATAACGTTGTGACATTCCACTATTAGATTAAAAGTTAGTAATTGAATGATGATAGTGTTCTCGTATGTGTAATTGTGTACATTGGCCTTATATCGGAACAGTTTAAGGGTTTTGAAGAAGACTTTTTTCCAACTGTGGGACAAATGTAATAATATTACCTACTAATATTATAAATGCGAAAGTTTGGATGTCTGGATGTTTGTTACTCTTTTACGCAAAAACTACTGGGCGGATTTTGGTGAAACTTTATAGTATGATTGTTTATAACCCAGAATAACATAAAGGCTATAATTTATTACGATCTGTGACAAACTAAATTTCACGCGAGTGAAACCGCGGGCAAAAGCTAGTATAAAATAAAAGTAAAACCTTTGGTCACACAGTTCAAGTTGAGATTTAGTTATTAACATAGCGAAACAGTCAAGATGTCAAATGGATTCGATGAGAAAAACTCCCCCGTGGGCCCAGCAGTGATTATGCAGGCCGAGTCAATATCGCGGGTTCAAAGCCGGAGCGCGCCACTTAGCGCCGATATTACAGCGCTTACGAACAACGCGAGGAATCAGTGCCTATTGATGATCAATGTGTGACTTGAACATCATGAATAAGATGAGTGCCGGATGAGTGTCAAGCCAATTACAAATTGTTTCTAGATTTAAGTTCTTGTGATTGGAATTGATTCTAGATAGAACCTTACTTAATCCATTAATATCAATGCAATTTTCATTTGCTTGGATTAACAAATTGTTCTGCTATGATAATAATTATAATAAGTAGAATCTTTGCAGTGAAGTGAAGACAATATTAACAGGGTTTTAGACAGTGTCGAGTTAAGGAATTATGTTTAATCTGTGTGTATCTACAGTTTTTATGTATGTGTGATTTCTTTAATTAGTATAGCCTAATGAATTTTACCTAATTCTGAGGTTTAGCCTCTGACGAGGATTCAACGCTCGCTTAGCCTACCTACCATCAGGGTTAAGGAAAATTATAATTCAAACAACAAACTTGTAGAAAGAAAACAAACTTTAATTAAATAAAAACTGAAAAAAGGAAACTGTTCTTAAAACTAACACAAGTTTAAAATGCTCCACATAACAAAAATTAGAATAATATTTTTTAAAAGTTAGTACATTATATCATTTGCACTCATTTAACTTGGACTTTGCTGACTGTTGTGAATGTTAACAAAAACAAAAACTTATATTGCAGTGTTAACCTTAACCTAGGTTAGGAAGTAATAGCTTAAATTATTATCGCTTAGACTATCATTTTTCCCAGGACTTTGGAATTGATTAATTGAACGGAGAAGCAAACTTATCTGCACTGGTCGACAGTGCTGGTGAACGAATTACACGATTCTGTTAATAATGTACCAGACATTAATTATTATTGGAATTATTCAAATGCCGTCGGACGCCGCCCAACTTGTTTTTCTTCATGTCAGTAAATAGTTGCTACAACTTTGTCATGCCATAGCGTAATCCCATTTCTATAGCTATTCTCGTACCTTAATCTGAAACAAGCAGGNCTTTTTTTTGCGTTCCGCTAAATCTGCCGGTGTGGTAGCTCTGAATAAAAATTAGGTACTTAGAATTGAAAGAAAGATACATTTATTGCAAAAATAAGTACTGAATTTAAAACAAAAGTTACACGAGTCAAAAAGAAAATGGTAAAGTAAACATAGTCTAATAACTAACATACATACGTTTGGTTATAATTATGATCGGGCACTCGCCCTTGGGTGGCGACCACGAGCCGAAAGACGTAGCGTGGGCAGGAATCCCACTAGGTGGACCGACGATCTGGTGAAGGTCGCGGGAGGTGCTTGGCAAAGGACCGGTCTAAGTGGAAAAAACTTGGAGGCCTTTGTCCAGCAGTGGACGTCTTTCAGACGAACGAATGAACTCGCCCTCTATAACCGGACAGCACGTGGCAAGAACTGACACGTGTAAGGTCTTGTCACAAGGTTCGTGAACAGTGCAATAATTGTCCTCTTGTGGGAACCGGATCTAAAATAAGAATAAGCAAGTGGTGCTTACCTAAAAAAAGAAACTAAAACTAAGGCGCTCCCGCTGGTGTCGGCTCTCGTGGAGCCGAGTCAGCCGCGCCGCCAGCCCCGCGGCCGGTCGGCGTCCGCAGACGCCGGCGGCCGCCACACCGGGCGCGGTGGCCTGCAGCCGCTGGCAGCACCCTGTGCCTGCAAACAAAACACCATTTAAAAGCAGGCCGGTTTTAACCTACAAGGGGTCGTGGGCACTTTCGTCTAAAAAGGCTTTTTTGATGGCAGACAGGGGCCTCCTCGATCGCGTGGCCCGGGCACCTGTCCAGAGAACTGACGCCCGTATTCACAAACGATTCTTGCTTAAGTGAAGCAGCAAATCGAAGGCAAAGAGTTGAATAAAGCTCCTTGATTGGTTCGTGTATCACCCTGTGTATCCACGCGCCCTATGAAACCTCATAGTAATGTTTGTGAATACGGGCGTAAGTCACTGAAATCTGCAAGATCTGTAGATCCTGGCTGCACAGAAGTGGTAGCGATGGAAATGAGAGGTGGAATAGTCCCGTGACTAATCCGCGGTATTATAGTCATTTTGAAGGTGAAATGCTGAATATTCTCTGCATTAGTTACGCCCTACATTAATGTGCCTAAACTGCTCTGCAGTTTAGTGCATTTATTTATAATGATTTGTGACTTAAGATTAACCTATGCTGAAAAATTACCGTAAACTGGATTAGGTAACTGGATAATAAAATTAAGATATTAATGTCAATCTTCATTTTAGCGCAATGAAAACTACATTTTATGCTTCTTACCCGACTGCACCAGTAGGAGGGTTAATGTAGTAAATGGAGTTATACTGTGATTGACACACTGCAATTTACACGAGGAAGCCACGTGTTTTTGCACGTGCTTCTGCACGTGGAATTTGACAAGATACTTTACAAAACGTTGAATTAGAAAATTCATGAATTTCAGAAACAGCATGATCAACATTTTAAATGAACTTGAATTGAGCCTAATTGATAAATACAAAAATATTACAGTGTGGCCTACATAGGGAAGCACGTGGATTTTGAAACACGAGTACGTACCATGTGAAAACACTATTATTCGATAAATATATTTTTCACTCACCACACCGCTGCAGGTCACATTTGTAAGGACGCGGGTACCCTGGCTCGCTGAAAAGAAAACGTTGATTATAATACATTATTTTACAAATAATTGTTAAAGTGTGGCAAAAGAATGACCTGCAACAAAGCGTACTTTAAGTGCCACTCAAAATTTTACGAGCTCAAACGGAATCAGAAATCGCAAGGCTTTGTAGATGATTAGCATTCAATCAATCCCACTGAGGTCCATTCCACGCGGTTCCTATCAAATTAAACTTGAGGTGTTTTAATTAAAATGAAAACGACGATTCTAAGCACGGCTCCTTTGAGCGTCAAAAGACTTAGCGAGATTTAAAATTTAACCCGAAAAGTTTCACGAGGGGCCCCTGAAGAGAAAGGAAGCGTTTGCAGTACAAGGGGACTTGGAAAATTTTAATTCAACAGCACGTGGCAGTTTTCGGGGAAAGTAACATGAAAATATGTAAATTTAGAAAAGGAAAATCACGTTTTTCGGTTTGTCATTATAAAAAGCAAGATTTTTAGCGATTTGGGCACTAAAATAACGTACGAGAACACGTGAAAACCGAAAAACAGAAATGACGCCACGTGCTTCATAATGATTCAGGCACTAAAATTAATAACAGCAATTTAACGCTCCCATCGAAAAGCTTTACACGATATTTTAATTATTATTTAGAGATTTAGAAACCAAGACAACGTGGAATTCTATCAAAAAGTTCAAACAAAAAGTAAAACATTGGCGTTCTGAAACTTGGGCGTAATATTTAGAAAAGCTGCAAAGCAGTTTATGAAATAAAATGAGAAATTGAAAGAGTTACACTGAAATAAAATTTGCCACGCGGTGAGCAAGACAAAATGGCGTCGTTACAAAATGGAGGAATGTATAATAAATGCAAAAATACTCACGTCCCGCGTCGGCGCCCGAGTGCGAGATGCGTGGGCGCACGGAGCTTTTTATAGGCGCGGCTGGACTAGGAAGGTGTCAAAAGGAAGTAAGTTTAATTTTGGTAATTTTTTGTGATCTACTATATTGCAAAAAGAAATTTAAGTTACAGGTAGAATAATTTCGACATGTTTTCAGTAATGTGGTAGGTAAGTATTTACATTTTGAACTGGGTATCGTAATACCATGATTTCGAAATTGTTTTCAATTCATAAGTGTTTTCTTATGGAGATTTATATTGATTAGAGATATTAGCTTTCTTAGGAATCTATGTTGAAGAAACACACTATCGACTTAGTTACCGAGTAGTTTGAGACACACTTGCGATATTTTTTCAACCCGCCTTTTGCTGATCCAGAAAGTTATTCTACCGAGTCTTCCATTTTATTTCAGAAAATATCCGGATGGAGTCGAAATACTTTCCAGCTACAACTTACATAAATAAGCCCGCCATCTTTGCGCGGTGGATTTAATATCCCAGTCCATCCTGCAAGACAGATGTCCACCCACCCCCCCTTGGAAAATATATAACATTCCGGGAAAAAGGAAAACTTTTGGGCGGGGCTGCTAGGCGTGGTGGGGCTCTGCCTACCTCGGGTGGGCGGGGCGCGGTGGTTCTTCTATTATCCCAATTGCGGTTATGTAAATGAGTGGGGGGTAAATAATTACAGTGAGTGGTACATAAGGGCGGGTATATACGTCTCCTAATGGCACTCTGGGACAGGTAGCAATTTTGTTTCTGATTTATGCGAGTCTCTTTTTGAAGGAGAAAATGTTGGCGAAAATGGAAATTTCAGGAAAATTGTTTGTTGAAGTTCAGACATCATTATGGAACTGAGAAAAGTGTAATAAAAGCAATTTACTCGGAAAGTACACCTACGAGCAAATTTACGTAAAGGGGCGTTCTAAGATAGAGGAGAATTTTGGGCGTAACCAAATTGTATTCACTATTTTTACTAAAAGCTGAAATACATATACATAATTGCACAAGACAGAAACAACAAAACAAAGATCAAACAAGCCACACAGAGAATCCTATTCGTATAATCGTAATTTCATTCAAAATTTTTATCAAAATGTATAAAGTTTTTCGTGCACTATCCGTATAGTTATCCGGTTATTCATATCCGAAAACACATGTAAAGTAAGTATAGATTAAGTAGCACAAAATTGAGATTTAACTTTAGTAATTGAATTGTTATTAAGTAATCGCGCACCTGTCACAAATCTAGCCGAAGACCCAAGAGCTAGACTGACCCGACACTATACTGAAGATATCCCGGACGTCAGTTTGTACGAGATTAGAATGGCTCTCAAACAGCTGAAGAACAACAAGGCACCGGGTGATGATGGAATCACGGCTGAGCTTTTGAAGGCAGGCGGAACGCCGGTACTAAGGGCTCTTCAGAAGCTGTTCAATTCCGTCATCCTCGAAGGAAAAACGCCTACGACATGGCACAGAGGTGTGGTGGTACTCTTCTTCAAAAAAGGTGACAAAACCTTGTTGAAGAATTATAGGCCCATCTCACTTCTGAGCCATGTCTACAAGCTGTTTTCGAGAGTCATTACGAATCGTCTCGCTCGCAGGCTCGACGACTTCCAGCCTCCCGAACAAGCCGGTTTCCGAAAAGGCTTTAGTACCATAGACCACATACATACGCTAAGGCAGATTATACAGAAGACCGAGGAGTATAATCAACCACTATGCCTGGCGTTCGTGGATTATGAAAAAGCCTTCGATTCGGTCGAGACCTGGGCAGTGCTACAGTCTCTCCAAAGGTGCCAAATTGACTATCGATATATCGAAGTGTTGAGGGGTTTGTACAAAAACGCCACAATGTCGGTCCGCCTCCAGGATCGGGACTCGAAACCTATCCAGTTGCAGCGAGGGGNATCTTCGCTACGTAAATTCAAAAAACAAATTTCTGAATTGTATACTCCGTCAGTTAGTTAATAATTAGTTGTTGCATCCTGTCACTTTGGCAACTTCATTGTTATCCAACATTCTGTGCATGTCGTGGCAACCTTTACTTAAGGCAACACCTTAGCTTAATTTATTTTTAAGGAAACTGTGAATGTATTTTGTATGTTTTGTTGGTTGTCCTTAAATAAATAAATAAATAAATAATAACGATCATTTAGAAAATGAAAATTTTAGAGTTACGGCATTTCTTTAGAATTTATAAGAGGGTAAAATGAAAATGTTCGACGCCAGGCGGAGCATGTAGCGAGAAAGTACCGTCGAAAACCAAAATTTTTAGTTAAATATTTGTATTTGTAATATTGTAAGTTAAATAAAATGACCTATTTAGCTTACATACCAATTCTCTTTCTTTCTTTTCGTGTCGACAACACACCTACACAGTGTCAGCCCAAAACTCCGCCACAAGAGTGGCGTACCAATTGATGGAAACAGACGATTTTATGATAAAAGATAACTTAACCAACTTGAAAAAATGATTTCAATATGATAAAATATCAATATTTTAAAACATAATTCATACTTCTAATAGTTCTAATATTTATACTATCTTCTAATATTAAATATGTTATGTTCCTACTTGGCTGAAATAATTAATTTGGGTTGCAAATTATATTTTTTTAAAACGTGCAAGAAAATCGAAACAACCTCAAAATAACATGGCACCATGCAATTAAATGTCTCTTTTTTGTAAAATAAACCGTAACAATTAAAGATAAATTGTTTTTTGTCCATTTAAAAACTCTTTTGTAACGGTTTGTCGAGAAAAGCAGTAAATTAAGGAGCCACAACGACTCTGAACAAATAGGGGTCCAAACAAATGCAAATTTTTACCCACTAAACATTTTTTCGGCAGGATTTTAAAACAAAGAAGTACCTAGTGAGTATGCCATACACTTGCGTGCAATAAAAAATACGATTTAAAATCGTATTTAATCACTGAAATTTTTATTCTTAAGTGTATTATTTAATGACATAAATAACCTACAAAACAACCTATAGAAGATAAACAAAACTTTTTGAGAACCTTATTTTTACAAATTTTATATTCAGATAAATTAAGACTAATCTGTGAAAATAACAAGTAATTGATTTGGGGCTACTTTATTTGTTTTGCATTGCTTCACCTATACAGCCCCCTTAGACAAGTGGCACTTTTTGATCGAAAATCGAATCCGTCAAAACTCCATAAAAAAGGGCTTTTGGACTATCTTTCGACTGGTTTGCGATTTTAAGGTGCACTTTGTCTAGACCCACTGTTTTTATTTAAAAAATAGCCAGATTTCATACAACGTGCTCATTTTGATTTCTATTATAATGACTACTTTCGAATACCATATATTTTTTCAATTCAATTTTTTTTTAATTTTTTTTTCATAAAAAAACACGTAAAACACCTTTGTGTGAAAAATATCAGTATCACATTATTTTTACTTAAATAATGAATGATTTACATATCTTATAAATGAAAATTATGTACAAAAAGACTAGAACTGTGTGTTAGTTTTTGGAAAAAAAACTATTATGATTGATGATATCTTCGAAAATCACATATTTAGGAATACATGTTCTTAAGACACTTATTCTTTAACAAGTTTTATTTATAGAATACGTAGGTATTCTAAAGGTAGGTACCCCTAAAATTTCGGGAAATCAAAAGGAGCGCGTCGTATAGATAGCCTACTGTTATGACAGCGAGTACCTAATTCCTATCAAAACTATTAATCGAAGTAACAAAATTTTTCTTTTAGGGTGTAATATAAATTTGATAAAAATCGTTTTCAATGCTAACAAAATATGTTCTAATAAATGGCCCAATTGATATGTAACGACAGGCACATAGCAAATTCTATAAAAAAAATCAAAGTCACCAGTGCGCATTTAATTTTGTCCCCGCTTGCATCCAGCGCCCAGTCCCTCAAAAGAGGATCTGAGGGAAAGGACACTCCACCCACCTCCTGTTTTTTGTTTCCTTCGGGAACATATTTTATTTGCTAAGTGGCTGTTTTAAATAAAAATGCGGTTTGCCGGGACGTTAAAAAGTAAACAAGTTGGATTTATTCGTTCGCTTTTATCTCGAACAATGACGGTAACGTTGCCACAGATTGTAGATACCCGCAATGCGTAATGTTATTTTGTTTTCTGTTGTTACTTTGAGACAGTTTCTACTACTGCTTTATTTGTGCGTGCCCAAAATAACTTCAATTTTGTAATATACACGTATTTACCAAATTGATGATATTCAAATAAATCTATGACCAATTTTAATGCAGTTTAGAATAACGTTCAAGAAAAGTTAATCTCTGTTATCGGTCTTAAGAAAAGAAAATAACCCAATTAGACCATGAAAATTGTCTGTGTATCGACAACATTCCTAATTGATTTAATTTAAACAGGTTTATTAATAACATTCCTAATATTAAATACTTAGAAGGAACGTAAAATGTCCGATTTTCATGAACTTATACGTAAGAAGGGACATTGCATATAATTTGCGTTTTTTAAAAATCAAATCCAAATAAAAAATATTTTATTAACTTTTAACCACTGCACTTATGAAAACATTTTTTTAATATCTATTGACTTCCTATAACACCGAACAACAAAAATACATTGTCAACATCAAGTTACATTGTAAGCTCAAGCAAACTCATCTTTTGATCTCACCTTCATTGTAACGTGCACTTCTACGGGAAAAGTAAAGGTAAGGCTGGTCGGGTCGGGCATCGAATCTTGTGCTGTTATTATCCATTATGCAATGCTTGATTGTGGCCACCAGACACGACCTGTTCGCGCACAGTGGGTTAGGTTTAAGGACTTGTGGGTAAAACTTTTCAATTTTGGATTTTCAAATATGTTTTTTTTTTAAATGCACAATGCAATAAAATTAGCTCATTTTGAAAATATGACGTGGCTAATATTTTATTTCATGCATTATAAATTTCTGGAATTTCTGACGATTTTAGTCATGTGAATATTATCCCGCGACTCCGAAACGTATTTGACTAATTTAATGACTGATTGATTATATT